CTGTGACAGGAGATTCTTTTCTTTTTTTCCACTGGAGTTCAATTTGCCAACATATAGCATAACACCCAGTGCTCATTCTGCCAAGTGCCCCCCTCAATGCCCATCACCCAGTCACCCCAACCCCCTGCCCACCTCCCTTTCCACTACCGCCCTGTTCGATTTCCAGAGTTAGGTGTCTCTCATGTGACAGGAGATTCTTAACTGCATTACAAATATAAGAAAGTCACTGAAGCAGATCTGATCACACTGAAGGTGCTGATCTAAGTAACTCTAGAAATGAATGCAGTCTATAAGACTAAGTAAGGCAAAAGAACTGCACATAAGCATCAGGCTGTTTTTCATGGGATACAGATTAACAATTCTGTATACCAGAATTGAACAATTAAGTAATAGATGCCAGAAGATGAGAACAATGGCCAAAGTTAGAATAATTCAAACAAAATAAAGTAGCATTAGGAGCGCCTGGGTGGCTCATCGGTTAAGCATCTGCCTTCAGGTCAAGTCATGCTCTCAGGGTCCTGGGATTGGGCCCCACACGGGGCTCCCTGCTCAGTCTGCTTATCCATCTCCCTCTGCCCTTCCCCCTGCTAGTGCACTCTCTCTCTCTAATAAAAATCTGGGGAAAAAAATAAAGTAGCATTAGATAATAATCCAAAATATAAAATAAGTATTCATGGATCCACATTGCTATAAATAAATGACTGAAAAAATTAGTACATGGGAGAAAATAAATCTTCCATGAAGAAAAATTCTAAATAATTTATATAGATATCCCACCCTCAAGGAGGAGCAGTAGGACTACTTCTTAAGTATAATCTATGCATGACTTTCTTCTAAAGTGTACATTATGGAAAGGGGAAAAAAAAGAGTTAACTTTACAGTGGAGAAACCCGACAAATACTACCTCAGGTCAAGACCAACAACAATGATAAATCATGTTGATAGTATGTGCCTTGATATAATGTCATGAAAGTAGCACTTTGCCTGTGGTTTTCCTCCCCATAACCCTTAACCTCAGTCCTAAAACAAAAACATCAAATTCCAATAGTGGAGTATCCTACAAAATAGTGACGAGTACTCCTCAAAATGCTTAATTGTCATCAAAAGCAAGCAAACTCCAAGAAACTGCCACTGACAAGGGGAGACTAAGAAAACATGATGACTAAATATAACTTGGTATCCTTAATGGGATCTTGGGGGAAAAAAAGAAACTACATTAAATAAGAACTAAAGAAATCTAAATAAACGACAGATATTAGTTAATAATACTGTGACATTGGGTAATTAAGTAATAAAGGGAGAAGCTGGGTGTGGCATATATGGAAACTTTGTATCTTCTTGATTTTTCTGAAGATCTAAAACTATAAAAAATAAAGTCTATTTAAAAAAACAAAACTTAACAGTGATAATCCTCTTATACTGGAAATATGGGTAGTTTATGCTTTTGTCTTTAGTTCTCTGTGCTACACACATTTTCTAGAACAAGCTCTAGGCTGCTCTAAAAAGTGTAGATATGTTTTTTTTTTCAACTTGTTTAAATAAACACTGAAACTGTCATAAATTTTAAAAGCAGATATTTATTGAATAATTACAATTTGCTATGAATTGTATGCTAAGAATTTTAGCAATACTCTGTGTAGTGAACAGTGTTACTGCTTTTTAAAATGTGAGGAAATAAAACATTAGAATGTTTAAGTCCTGTAACCAATAGGTGGCAGGTAAAATGACCCCAAAACATCTTTTTATTTCTATATAATATAGCTTCCCCAGAATTATTTGTTCAGCACTTCATAAACTAATGCTAGTATACATATTATCTTAAAGTACTTCATAATAGTGCTATAGAGTGAATTATAAAGAGACATATTTGAGTGAAACTGTGTCACAATAAAATATGTGACAGGCATCACTGCAGTGCTAACTCCACCAAAAAAAGAAAACAAAATCTCCATCAGATAACAATACAAGCTGCACTGCTACAAAAGAAACACCAAGAAACACCAGCTGCCAAACCTACATCTAGTAACTTTTAAGTATTACAGAGATCTTGTTTTACCAGAAGGTATCATGAATCATACCTTATCCCTAAATAATAAAGCAGTTCTTTCAAAATGTGTCAAGTCAAAAACCAAAAACTGAACATTCTCCTCACATTACTTTGGAAGTTCAAAAGGAGATTGAGACTGACTTCTTGCCTTCATCAAGGCTTACCACCCTACTGCTCAAGTTATTTCAATATGTGACAAAATTGATAAACAGAATGAATAGCCTACATCTGTGCTTTTTATGATGCCATTTCATGATTCTTTAATTCATAGGGTGACTCAACTGAGGCTGGTCTATTTTTAGGTAAATTGATCTGTATCATGAAAATAAGCCAAGAGCAGAGTGGGGCCTGAACAAGGAAAACCAAAACCTGCCCAAAGAGTTACATTAAAACATTAGTACAAAGGGGAATTTGTGGGGGATTGGAGGAATGATAAAATTACTCTGTATTTTGGTTTTGGTGGGAATTGCGTGATTATCTACCTGTGATAAAATTCATGGAGAACTGTAAATCACAAGACTGAATTTCACTGTCTAGAAGGTAAAATTAAATTTAAAAAGAAAAAAAAATCAAGCAAAAATTATAAAGGAATAAATCTTTCTTTTTTTTTAAGATTTTATTTATTCATGAGAGAGAGAGAGGCAGAGACATAAGTAGAGGGAGAAGCAGACTCCCCACAAGGAGCCTGACATAGTACTTGATTCCAGATCCTGGGATCACGCCCTGAGCCAAAGGCAGACGCTCAACAACTGAGTCACCCAGGCAACTCAAGGAATAAATCTTCAAGGAATAAATCTTCTAATTCTTTAAAACAAAAAAAACCAACTAAGGAACCCAAGGAAGCTTAGGGACATCTGAACTAATCCACAGCATGAGTCTCCTGATAGAAATGCACTGAGAATTCGGTATTACATCTAGGAATTTGATATCACTTCTAGTCCTGCTAAAAGGGTTTACCCTAAATCTAATAATCAGGAAATATCAAACAAGCCCAAATTAAGTCATTCTACAAAATAACTGGCTTGTACTCTTCAAAAATGCCAATTACACTGAACATAAAAAACTCAAGAACAGGTCCAGACGAAAGAAGTCTAAAGAGATGAGAACTCAGTGCAATGCACAATCCTAGATTTTTTTAAAAAATTTTTATTTCAGAGAGTGAGCAAGCCAGAGAGAAAGAATGCTCCAGAGACCACATAGGTGCATGCATTAGCAGGGCGAGAAGGAAGAGAGACTCCCCAGTGAGCAGGGAACCCAATGCAGCCTGACCTGAGCCACCCAGATGCCCTAGATTTATTTTTTCTATAAAAGACTTTATAGTTGGGACGACTGGCAAAATTTCAAAATGGACCATTGATTAAATACCAGTATTATGGGATGCCTGGGTGGCTCAATGGTTGAGTATCTGCCTTTGGCTCAGGTCGTAATTCCAGAATCCTGGGATCAGGTCCTACATCAGGTTCCCCACAGGCAGCCTGCTTCTCCCTCTGCCTGTCTCTGCCTCTCTCATGAATAAATAAAATCTTTAAAAATAAAAATACGTGTATTGTGTCAACATTAATTTTATGATTTTCATCACTACACTATGGTTATGTAAGAAAACTCTTGGGTGGGGGGAGGACTGAAATATTTGGGGGGCTACTTTTAAATGGTTCAGGAAAAATAAAAGCAAATGAGAGTGCCTGCATTTGATAAATCCAAGGATTTGAAGTCTATCCAGGAATTCTCTGTACTATTCTTTCAACTTAGTCTGAAATTATATCAAAATTAAATTATTAAAAAAAAGTAACATCCCTTGGGCTAAAAATAACAGATCAAGTAATCTAAAGGACAGAATCAATATGAACACATTCACTAAAATAGTCTACGGAAAGTTCTGGCACTTGCTCAGTATTGACTATAGAGGAATGTCTAGTCCTGGCACTCAGCCTGGAGTTCTAAATTCTATTATGGCAAGGATTAGCTTGATGCTGTTAAAATATCTAAATTATACAAGCAACTCTCTCCCTCAACTGTTTGTTCACAGAATAACTTTTGCCTATAAAACACTTTCAAGTGAAGACTGACTACAAAAGAAGCTAACTGATCATACTGACTTAGAAAGTACTATTTATAAACTAGATTATAAATCAGCTTTCTTGAGAATTCGATTAATACCAGCCTTCCCAAATTGTATCAACTCTGGGACATCAACAAGAGTATGTGGACATCAACAACCCACAGCCTGGGAACTATACTCTAAAAAGGGTAGGTTGGGACGCCTGTGTGGCTCAGTGGTTGAGCATCTGCCTTTGGCTCAGGGCGTGTCATCGAGTTGAGTCCCACATTGTGCTCCCCACAGGGAGCCTGCTTCTCCCTCTGCCTGTGTGTCTCTGCCTCTCCTCTGTGTCTCTTATGAGTAAATAAAAACATAATGAATGAAATAAATAAAATAAATAAATAAATAAATAAATAAATAAATAAATGTAGGTTTATCAAGGCTATGTTCCGCTGAGAACTCTTCACTTATTAGCTTTTTCTTTTATTTTTTTTTTTTTAAAGATTTTATTTATTTATTCATGAGAGACACAGAGAGAGAGAGAGAGAGGCAGAGACACAGGCAAAGGGAGAAGCAGGCTCCATGCAAGGAGCCCGACGCAGAACTCAATCCTGGGTCTCCAGGATCATGCCCTGGGCTGAAGGCGGGCGCTAAACCGCTGAGCCACCCAGAGATCCCCTTATTAGCTTTTTCTATTAGCTACACTCCTTTACCTTGTCACAGCTCTGTTTCAACAAACAGGTTTCACTATTCATAAAGATGACATCAAAAAGAGTAAGACTAAATTTGGCGGGAAACTATTTTTCACTGAGAAAATTGTATGACAAGTACTTAAATAATTCCACCTAGAACAACTGCATAAGGTAACGCTGTCATTTAAATGACACTAATACAATCACTCCAAGGACACATAAGAAAGGGGAGAATATTTTTATTTTCATGCTTTTTAAAGTCTTGACATAGAAGAAGAGGTAAACACAAACCACAAGTGAAAATTTTAACTAAATATGCAGACAGAGCAAGAGTCACTATAGAAAGTTCAGGCCTTTGTCTGTAACTTCAGAATTGGGGATTCTAATCTTAAAAAAAGGAAAATGCTCCATTCAGCACTTAGTTTCCTTATGTAGGGGTATATCTAGAATTTATGAATTAGCTTATAGTTCTGACATATTTATTAAGTCTGACTTTACTACAGAAATAGGATCTTAATACTTCATTCTCAAAACACTTTAAAACTCAAGCTAATGCTTTTCTTTCAAGAATGTGGAAGGTGTTCCTCATTCAAGTCTGATTCATGGTTTTATAAAGCATAAAGATCATTTTTATTATTTCATTATCTATATATGCAGGACTCTAATTTTTTTTATGGTGATGTATTCAATGACAGAAACTTAAAGATAATTCCTTCTCAATTTATAAACCAAAATTTTAAAAGCAAAAATGCATGAAGTGAGAGGAAGACATTTTTATGCACAAGCAAGCTACTGCTCTAAGGTGCTGGCATGAACAAAAATAACAGAAGTACAAATTATTTAACCTTTAAATAGCCTATATTTGCTACAAATCCATAAATACTTTAAATATATTTCCTTCTGCAATAAAATTTAAGATAATCCCTAATTTAACAGCTTTTGAAGGTGTTACTATTATGGATACAACAGATTAACTTCCCCCAAATGTCCAGTAATAAATTGAACACCAACTTACCTACCCCAACAACATAAAGATGATCTAATGTGGATCAAAGTGTGTAACAAGTTCATATAAAAAATGATCCTTCATATGCTCTTTACTAAAGCAATCAATGTAAAATGATGTAAAAGCTTGTTTTATAATTGAAGAGTTAGGTAATTTCCAAAGTATCACAACTTTTGAGATTTGATTTCAAACACAGTGCTACAGTATGCAAAAATACTAGGGTCTCTTAAAAAGGCAAACTTAAAAAACTCCACACATAAAATGACCTAAGTATCATTAATAATTACATTTTCCATAATCTTTTATCCAAAACTTCAAAGCTATCAATCTCTTTCAGTGCTCTGAGTGAGCAATCAAAATAGTCCTATTTATTCAAGATTAAAACTAAATTTCTACTTCTCAATACGGAAGCATAGATGGAATAGACAATAAAAGTTATTTTTGTCCAACATCCTGAGCCTACAGATATGGAAATCATCTATAGTACAATCTCATTGTGTCATCATCGATTCACCTTCTTCCCCAGTAGCATCTTGGGAAATGTGGAGGTCTTCAAGCATTTCAGCCAGACTAATTCGAGGTGCTCCTTCATCATCTGTGTCACTTTCCACAGGAATGGTTGAATCTAAAACAAAAAAAAAATACAAGGAGGATTTCAAATATATACAAACATGGAAATATGCAAAATGCATCCCCCCACCATCATTACTATTATTGAACCATATTGTATCTGCAGTTCTTTTATCATATCTAGAGCAGGCATTTATACTAAATAAATGAATGATATAAATGTATGAATAATTATCCATTAGTATAGGGATCAGAAATTTGAGGGATCATTACTATGATACAAATGATATCAAATATGGTAAAACAACATTAGTAAATCTTACTGTTCTGCAACAGTATTTTTATTTTTTATAAATGTTTAGTCAAGTTTTAAAAACACACAGAAGTCACTTATGGAATTTAAGATACCAAAATACTTATATTGGGGCAATATATCTACACAAAAGCAAAAGATACAACCTAAATCATACATTCCTAAAACACTAACCTCTATAAATGTTAACATTTTTTCTAATTGCCTCATCTTCTTCAAGATCTTCAAGGAAATCTTGGTATTGCCTATGGAAGGATAAAGAAACATTTAAATATTTCATCTTTACTGACAAAGTATGAAGTTATGTGTCCTTCATTTTCAGCACTATAAGATAAATGTGTTCCAAGTATTAGTATCTTTAAAAATAATATCTGAAGGTCACATATGAATGGTTAATGAAATACTCTGACAAATTAAAAAAATCTTTTTTTTCAAGATTATATGATTTGAATGCAACAATCTGGTGATGATTAAATGTAAAAAGTATACAGATTTATTTTTATTATAAGGATTTCCTTTGAGACAATACATAAGGTTTAAAGAAAAGTAGGACCTTTCATCATCTGTATCCATGTTTTCTTTATCTCTTGCAAGCTCTTTTAGTTTCCAGTTTCTACGACGCTGACGTTTTGTACGGTCATAGTTCTTCTTGATTAATACCTAAAAGTAATAGAAATATTTGCAAAGTTACAAAAAATGGTGACTAAGTAATGGGGCCTCTTAACCAACTAAGGCAGCTGTTTAACCAACTGAGCCACGCAGGAACCCCTCTGTGTCTTTGTTTTATATCAAAGTTCAAATTTCACCTACCATTCACATAATCATCCTGAAATATTACAGGCAGACATTTTCCCCTCCCTTTTATTACTACTAATAGGCACTCATAGAACTATATATATCTTTTACAAATATATGTTCTAGGACAGCTTAAGAAATTGTGGAATAAATGAAAATAATTTTACAGAATACAAAATCTTGAATGACTGTCTTGATCTCCTCTACTGACCCTGTTAGACTTTTATCTAAGCTATACTTCTGGGTGCCTAGGTGGCTCGGTTGGTTACGTGTCTGCCTTCAGCTCAGGTCATGATCCCAAGGTCCTGGGACCAAATCCTGTATCCAGCTCCCTGCTCAACAAGGAGTCTATTTCTCCCTCTGCAGGTTATCTCTCTCACACACACATTTCCTCTCAAGTAAATAAAATCTTTTTAAAAAATTATGTTTCTATATCCTAATTTATTAATAAAAACACAACTGGGTGGTAAGAAGGCGAGTCCTTCTTATACCATGACTTTTTTTGCCCACATCTAAAGAGATTAGTGAAGATTAAACAATCCAGGAATTAAGGTCTTTCACATTTCACATTCATTTTTGCTTATTAAAAAACTCATGTTAGAATTTAACAGGTTTTTCCACGAACATTCTTTCTCTAAAACTCAACACTGTAAAGATTATTTTCAACTGCAATTATATTCAAACCTGAAAAATCTAAGTTTTCATTCTAAATGCTTAAACTGAGCAATATGTGAAATAAGCTGAGCCAAAAGAATGAAGCTAAATTAAGTTCTAATGGTCATCGTTTTTAGCTGCAAATTTATTTTTGCTCTACAGATGGTATCAAGCATTTTGACAGAGAAAGGAAATTCAATTATTAAGAGCAACAAAAACCTCAAATCATGGATTTTCCCTGCAAAGACACATGACTAAATGTGAAGGCTTGCCCTATTATACCTTAGCTGAAATTTCAAAAGAATCTCTAAATTGATTTGTTATTTTCATAAATGTGAACTCACACATCTTACCCATAAAAATTGTATCAATTCTCTTTATAACACAGGTTCAAAGGAAAAACTCTGAAGGCTTACCACATCTGGGACTCTATCTGAGTTCATTTTGTTGACATGCTCATCATTTAAATTACAGTTGGCCAAATCAAACCTGAAATAAAAATAAACAATGACATAAACATTTCTTTCCACATTACTTTTTATTTAATGTATGTTCACCTGAAAGTTCTAAGATTAACATTTAATATTTCCCACATTAAAAGTTTTGCAATTTACAGTACAATAAACATGCCTCTACAGATCATATCTGATTTTCATAGTTTCACTGTCCATCTTACCATATACTTGTAAAAGAATTGAAACAAACATATATCATTAGAATTCAGTTCCATTTAGTTAAAAAAAAAAACTCACTCTCTAGTAAAAAAAGATTGCATAAGAGCAAAAGTAATGCTTTTCAGTTACTCAAAATCTTAGATTAAACGATTCTTTAAAATGATGGTCAAAATGGAGTAACTATGGGCTTTTGTCTAATCTAACTTAGTGTTCAATAAAGTGAACTGTAATGCTCCTAAGAACTCTTAAATTCTTTATGGAATACACATTGTTAGCAGTTTAGTCTGCTGGCTCCTAAAGAAAATTTGCAATGATAGTTGCCAGTTTAAAACACTGTAAAATAATACAAACCCCAACACCAGGTCTCCAGGATTTAGAAGATGTCCCAAATGAGTGCGACAAAAATATTGTTTATCTGTATTCATTTCAGATGTCTTCTGTACCCAGACTTCCCCGAGGATATGCTTGACAAGAAAGAAAAATGCACTCTTCAATAATCCAAACATAACTCAAATGTATCTCACAGAAATTATATACAATGTTGATTTCGGTTTTCTAATTTTATTTTATTCATTCATTCATTCATTCATTCATTCGAGAGACACAGAGAAAGACAGAGACACAGGCAGAGGGAGAAGCAGGCTCCCTGTGAGAAGCCTGATGTGGGACTCGATTCCAGGACCCTGGCACCACACCCTGAGCCAAAGGCAGACAGACACCCAACTACTGAGCCACCCAGGGAACCCACTAATTTTTATTTTAAAGATAGCAAGTGTTTTAATTTTACAGCTCTCTGAAACACTATAAAAATTAACAAATTACTATACAGAGTAAAAAAATAAGGAATACATAAAATAAATATCTTTATTAAGATTTTATTTAAGACTTTATAAAACATAAACACTATCATCTAAATACAGATATATATAGAATTTACAAAACAAATGTTTTCACAGGGAGATGGGTAATATAGACTGAGCAAAAATAACTGAAAGATCTTAACTCTAGAAAATATCATAACAACCCCTTGTTTTACACATAAGGTTCAAAAAACCAAGGTTGAGACAAAGCAATCTAGCAATCCCAGTGGCACTACTACTACTAGAAAACCCAAATCTTTATAAAATTAATTTTTTGGCTGTCTTTTATGTGAAGTATAATCTTTTTTGTCCTTAATATCTGTTGCAGAAACAATATCCCAAGTTTGAAATTATTTTTTTTTAAGTAGGCTCAATGCAAGGTCTGAACTCCCAACCTGGAGATCAAAACCCTAAGCTGAGATCAAGTGTCAGATGCTTAACTAAATGAGCCATCCAGGTGCCCCCTAAGTTTGAAATTTTAATTTGGAAAATCATTAAAGTCTCTTTCCAACATAGGATTTTACAAGCAACTATAATTGACATTTCAAATTTCCAGGCTAAATTAAATGCAGCACTTGCCAATACTTTTTAGTAACAAAAACAGACCTACAAAATGGGATCAAGAGCAAAATACTAAGAGTTACAGACTGAGGAATTAACAAATCTCAAAGAGGTGAAAAGAAGAGATAGAGAGAGAAACTGAAATAAATGATAGTTCCCAGATTTAGGAAAGAAAAAAGGAAAATAGGTGAATTACTAGTTTCTTCAAAACTAAACATCTTACCAAATGATACAATAAACATGCTCCTCGGTATTTACTTACCCAAAGGAGTTGAAAACTTAGGTGTCCACAAAAGCTAAAAACACAAGGATGTTTATAGCAAGTCTATACATAATTGCCAAAACTTTGAGGCAACCAAGATGTCCTTTACTAGGTGAATGGGCAATCTGCAGTAAATCCACACAATGAAATGTTACTTGGCATTTAAAGATTATATGGTTCTAATCTAAACTATGTAATATTCTGAGAAAAGCAAAACTACAGACAGTAAAAAGATAAATGATTACCAGGAGTCAGGAGAGAGAGAGGGATAAACAGGCAAAGCACAGAGGATTTTTAGAGCAGGAAAAAACGTGTATAATATTATAATGGAAATGTCACTATATATTTGTCCAAAGCCATAGGATGTACAACACTAAGAGTGAAACATAATGCAAACTGTGGACTTAGGTTGAGTATCAAGTATCAATGTAGACTCATCAATTTTAACAAATGATAATGGAGGAGGCTATGGCATATGTGGAGACAAGAGGTATATGGGAAATTTCTTATCTCCTCTTAATTTTGCTATTAAACCAAAACTGCTCTTAAAAAGCACAAGTTGTTAAAAAAAAAAAATAAGGCACAGGAGCTCCCACTGGCTAAATTTGGGACAATCTGAATGTCCCAAAGGAAAGAAAGAAGACAAGTTAATAGGAAAGGGAGAAAAATCCTAACATTACAAGGAAGAGATCTGGCTATCAGTGAAACAGCCAAACACGCCTATCACTCAAAATAGCATAAAATCACATAGTGACACTTCTAAAATGTTCTGGCCAAAAATCACTCAAGTTTAAGCAAGCCTTTTAGATCCACTCTTCATTTAAAAGAAATACAAGAAATTAAGAAAGCTAAATAATATCAAGAGAAAACAGTAAGAGATTCATAAGATAAATGCCCCAGTTGCCTTAGGAAGTTGATATCCTAAAGGAAAACAAGAGCGAAAGGGGAGTAAAAAATTTAGGAGGTAGAACATTCACATTCAATATATGGTCCCTAATTGGATACTAATTTGAACAAACCATAAAAGGCACTTTGGGACAAAAGAGGAAATTTGAATATAAATTATTTAAGTTTATATGAATGATAATACTTTGATTAGAAAAATGTTCCTATGTTTTAGGGATACATATTGCAGTATTCAGTAATTACTGATAACATAAGATACACTTATATTCAAAATGTTTGAAAAAAAAAGGTTTACTTATCATTTCGTCCCTCTATACAAAAGTAAAGCAAAGAAATGCTTTTTTCACAATAAACATTTTTAAAAGTTTTCAACATTAAAGAGAAAAAAAACTTATCAGTGTATGTCTAATAAATTTCATAACAATGGCCATGTGTAAAAACAAGTAACATACAAATATGGAATGCATTTGAAACCTAATGAAGTGTTAGATTTCTGTGGAACCAAATTTTGGAATTACCTAACAAACTATGAAACTGAAAAATACAAAAGAGGGACCAAAACAATTAAACTGGGGGGCAAAAAGATGGGCAGGATGGAACTTACCTTTTTGGATATCATTCCAGCACCTGCACTGCGTTTTAAATCTCGGACTATGCTGCACTCCATCACAATAAACTCCTCTAGTTGTTTGGGATGGCATAAACTATTGAAAGGGTGACTCCAGAAAGTGCTTCCATCAATATCCGCAACTAAGTATAAACATGGAACATCAAAAAATGAAGTATTTCAAAAGCCATCAAACGTGTCAATTAGGAAGACGTTGGTATATATGAACTGGCAAGCATGAGGTCGAGACCACAGTGGCAACTCTCTGGAGTACCATTTATTCCTATAAATCAGCCCCAAACTTCTCACAGCACAAGAAAAATTTCAAGTGACAGTAATATACTATTTTTAAGATTTTATTTATTGATTGATGAGAGGCAGAGACATAGGCAGAAGGAGAAGCAGGCTCCCTGTGGGGAGCCTGATGTGGGACTCGATCCCAGAACCCTGGGATCACGACCTAAGCCAAAGGCAGATGCTCAACCACTGAGCCACCTAGGTGCCCTCAAGTGACAATAATATTTTAAGTAGTTACTATCATCAGAACCCCATAAAGCCGAGTGCCTTTAGAATAAGATCAGGGTTCCTGGGTAGCTCTGTTGGGTGACTGACCCTTGATCTCAGCTCAGGCCTTGATCTCAAGGTCGCGAGTTCAAGCCCTGTGTTGGGCTCCACGCTGGGCGCAGTCTACTTAAAAAATAACAAAAAATAAATAAGATCAGATCCACTCAGTTGTATAGTTGTTTCATGTGCTAGCCCTTTAGAAAGGTTATCAGTCATCTTAGCTGCTTAAAAGCAGCTTTATTAAGGAAATAAAGTTCTACCTGACAGATATGCATCCCAAAACCGCAAAAGACCTTTGACTTACAAATTCTAATTGACGAGGATAATAAATGACTTTCTAAAAAAAATAAACTTGATTTTTTTGTATAACAGAAAACTTACATTACAGGAAAAACATGAAAAAGATCAAGAAATAGGAGATAAACCTATCCATATGAAATCTTCTTTAAAAAAGTTTTATAAAGGGAATGTTAAAAATTATGTGTAATAATGATAAAATTAGTTAAAATTCATATTTAAACTAAATGTTTTACTGCATTACAAGTGAAATGTTCCAAATCTTAAATAGCTGCTATACACTAAACTTGGCAATCAACTTAATTATTCACAAAAATTAAATGAGGTGAATAAGTCAATTTCAATAAAAATAAATGGACTAAACCTAGAAAATTTTTTGAGGTTCACAGAATTGTTTCTCCAAATAAAAAATACAGGAGTTACTTATCAAAAGCTTTAAAAATTCCAGTGTTTTTAAAGAAGTAAACAGCAGTAAAAATCTGAACTAGTTTTGCATAACAATATTACTGAGAATATCTGATAAAATTAGCAATATAAACTATTACTGCTTGCTGGATAAAACTGTCAAGACAAATATTTTCTAAGACTTACCTTGTAGTGTATTTGGATCTATGAGATGTATGGCGCTAGTTACTCGAATACACACACAAATCTGGTTCATATTTCCCAGGCTTTGTGCCAGTTTTGGAGATAGACAAACAACATTATCCTAGGCATAAGAACTAACATTTAGAGTGAAGCAAGTCCTAAATAACCATCTCCAATAAACACTCATCAATATAAACCAAGTGTATGTGCCCAAACCAAAACATTAATTCTATTAACAAAGGGCCTAAATCAAATCTTAGAGAAACAGAAAATAAGCTATTCCTTCTAAAGATGAGAGTATCTGTCTTAATAAAAATGCTTTAAAAGTATTTTTCCAGATCTCACTTACCAAGCTATTAAGTTTACTTCAATTTTATTCAAGTGTGAATGCTTACTGCTCTATGGCAATACAGTGTACATTCTAAGCAAAGTATTATAAACATGAAGGAAAATGATTTTCTAAATCTCCCTGTGCCTTTCAATAAAAAATAAATTTCAAAAGAGCCACGTTTCTCTTTCATGGCTACATGCACGAATACGCAATCAAAATTTAATGCCAGAAAGCATGTGTCCATGTGTACATTAGGAGATATTACCATGTAATTACCTGTTTTAAAACTGTATTAAAATACAAAAAAAAAAATCTTTGTTATATTTTAAGCTGTATCTATTCACAATCATAGGCTCCTCCACTAAATGGGCTGTGTATCTCAAATAGCACCTAGTCTAATACTTTGTTTCTAACTTAGTAAGAGTCTCCATGGATTAATGAAAATACTTTTACATTGTGCATTTATTCAGTTACTTGCATTAATCAATCCAAGTACTTAACCCATGGCCTAAAGATGGCATCATATCTAGATTCACATTTCCCAGGCTTTGTATCAGGAAAATGTTCACTGTTTTAAGCTCAGGCTAAATTTGGCCCACCACCCATTTCTGTAAATAAAGTTTTTCTAAAACATAGCTTTGGCTATTCATTTACCTATTGCCTATGGCTACTTATGTGCAACAGCAGACCTGAATACAAAACAGATTATATGGCCTAAAAGCAAAAATATTCATCATATGGTCCTTTACAGAAAGTAAAATTTGCCAACTCCCCCCTTTTTAAAGTAGGCTCCGTGCCCAATGTGGCACTTGAACTCATGACCCTGAGATCAAGAGTCCCATGCTCTACCAATTGAGCTAGCCAGGAGCCTCTGCTGACCCAGTATTAAGCTATCATTTTATCCTTGTTATTATACACTGCACCGTAAATTAGCAATAGTATCTTTAAAGCTTTAGAGTCAAGACCTAGGCACAAATCCTAGCTTCTTCATTTTGTAATCATGTAACTTTGGGCAAGTCATCTAACCTCCCCGGGCTTCAACCTTCTCATGTTCAAAATGATGAAATAATTTACCCCTTATAATGAGATATGAAGAAGTGAAATAGACTCAAATACTTAGATATTAACTTTATATGGAATGCTTCTAATAAACTATGGCATTTATCATTATTAATAGATATTGACACACAAGTTCCTATATGGTAGAGACCTCTAAATAATACCCTTAATACACTGCCTTCTATATAGTAGGTGCTCATTAACTATTCGTTGCATTTTAATTCATTTATATTTTTGAAGCAGGATTTTACCTTAATACAAGGAAATGATAACCTACTTTTAAGTATTTGATGTTTTTAAATCACAAAAATGATTCCATGATCTTATTTCCACAATACTGTTTAATTTCATCATGCCCAACTTCATTTTACATACATGCTTCAAAGTGGTTCACTGATATTTATTTTAATGTCATTTCCTGTATTCAAACTTTTCATGTGTCCACCAGGATCAAAATGAAAGGTATGCCAATTTGTAATTTTAAGTATTATTTTTCAGTATCTTTTTAACATGGGTGAATATGTCAGAAAGGAATTCTTTAAGAAGTTATTCTAAATTTTTAACCAATCCCAGAAGAACTCAGGAGCTAATAATTACATATAAACCAATTAATTACCTTAATTACTCTTTTATAGACATGGATTAATTAAACGAGAAAAAGTACCTTGCATATTGGAACAATTTCCACAGAAAAAGTGCTTTTGTAATTGTATGTGTTACTATGGATATCTTGAGAGATCAGTCTCTGTGAGGCTTTGTGTCTGTTAAGAAAAAAGGCTTATAGTAATAAAAAGACAAAGGTTTCTACTTATATAGTCTAGAGAATATCAATTTTTATCTAATCAAATCATCACTGTCCAAGGTCTGAAACAGCTTCCTGATGCCCACTATGGCAAAGCCTAATTTCATCCACTTACATTTTAAAACCTCCGCCAACCCAATCGCATCCTACCTCTTTTCAATTTGTCTACTCAAAACCTCTAAAACACGCACTTGGCTCAGACCAAGGTAGTCTATATACAGCATCCACTGAAAGCCACATTAATGTCCACCACAAGTCTTTGTTCACACTTATCTCACCTTTCACTATAAACCCTATCTTAAAACTTCCCATTTTAGGAGCTTAAGCCCTTTTTCCATGAAGCTTCTCCCCAAAGCCCTCTAACTCCATCTTTCTTGTGTCTTATTTAAATACATTCAATCAAAAGTTTAGCAGTATAGTACTTATCATAGGGTGAGATCTAGCTCCCCAAAGAGATTCTTCTATATTCTTTGGCTAATAATTCCCATAAAGTGGCTAATCCAATAGATGCTTACTAATTATGTAAGAATTCCTACTACAATTTTAAATATTTTAACATAAGAGTAGTCATCTAAGCCTGAGGGATGGATATAATCTATATCCATTCCCAGCTCCTTGGACTTAATCACATTTAGATTCAGAACATACCTGCAGGGAACTGTACACTGAAGAAATTCTACCATTTTCTGAGCATGCTGTTTTGAAGAATAATAGAAATCCAAACCATCTTAAAAAAAAAAAGAAAAGAAAAGCCACATGAAAATAATTCTGCAGAATAAGATTCCCCTCTACTAACATAACTATATCACAAATTAAATGTGTAGTAAACAAATTATTAGGAAACATAAAAATATATCAATTAAGATTTAACAAAAGTATAGACAAACAAGGCAAATAATAACAAAAGAAAACAAGATTCACAATTTTAATTTCAGATAAAATAAAATTCAAGGTCAAAGGGGGAGAGAAATGGGGCGTCTGGGTGGCTCAGTCAGGTAAACATCTTAACTCGTGATCTTAGTTCAGGTCTTGATTTTAGGATTAGGATAGCCCAAACTGGGCTCCACACTGGGCATGTATCCTACTTAAAAAAAGATGAGGGAAGAGAAAAACCACGCAAAGAAGCATATTTTATATATTAATCTACCAAGAAGATAGCATGAATGAATCTACTAACACAGCACTAAGATGCAGAAAACAAAAACTATTAAAAAGAAATAGAAGTTAATAAATGTTAACACCTGCACAATCACTGTGGCAGACTAATATGAGACTATCAAAAACAAAATGACCGAGAGGATATTATGCTAAGTGAAATAAGTCAATCAGAGAAAGACAATTATCATATGATTTTACTCACATGGAATTTGAAGAAACAAAACAGAGGATCATAGGGTAAGGGAGGGAAAAGTAAAACAAGAGGAAGATAAACCATAAGAGACTCTTTTAACTATAGGAAACAAACTGAGGGTAGCTGGAGGGGAGGTGGGTGAGGGGATGGGGTGATGGGCATTAAGGAGACCAAATGATGTAATGAGAGCTGAGTGTTATATGCAACTGATGAATCGCTGAACTATATACCACTGAAACTAATAATACACTATATGCTAATGAATTAAATAAAATAAAATTTTAAAAAATAATTTAAAAAAAAACACCAAAAAACAAAAATAACTAAACTGATTAAAAATAGGAAGGACACATAAAACCTGAATAACTCTCATGGTTGATTTAACTGCAATTATAGAACATGGTCCCAATAATACTTTTTTTTTCATTTTATTTTTTTATTCATGAGACACACACAGAGAGAGGCGGAGATATAGGCAGAGGGAGAAGTAGGCTCCTAACAGGGAGCCCAATGTGGGACCCGATTTTCCCTGGACCTGGGATCGTGCCTGAGCCAAAGGCAGATGCTCAACCGCTGAGCCACCCAGATGTCCCAAGAATACCTATTTTTAAAAATTCATAGAACATTCATAAAACAATCACATACAAAGATTTTTTTAATTTCAATAAATTCTAAACAGTATAAATTATTAATATTACCTGATCACAATGCAGTGGCATCAAAAATCAGTAACAAAGGGAAAATTAAAAGCACACCTACCTGCTTTTAAAGATACTTATAGAAATTCTTATAGAGATACTCTTTCCAAACAACTCCGCTAACTAGTAAAATAACTCAGAATAGTCAAAACCAAATTCTGAAGATGAACAGAGCTGTTGGGAACTTATACTTCCCAGTTTCAAAACTTGATAACTTTAGTCAAGACAGTGTGGTATTAGCATAGGATAGATATACCGATCTATAAAACAAACTTGAGAATCCAGAAGTAAACTGTGACATTTATAATCAATACATCTTTGACAGAGGATCCAAGGAATTCACTGAAAAAAGGATAGGCTTTTCACTGGGAAAACAGGATATCTACAGGGAGAAAGATGAATTTAGACACTTATCTCACACCATGCACAAAAATTAACACAAAGGTTTAGATCCAAATTTAAGAGCTAAAACTATAGGGCAGCCTGGGTGGTTTATCGGTTTAGTGCCGCCTTCAGCCCAGGGCCTGATCCTGGAGACCCAGGATCAAATCCCATGTCGGGCTCCCGGCATGGAGCCTGCTTTTCCCTCTGCCTGTGTCTCTGCCTCTCTCTCTCTCTCTCTCTCTCTCTCTGTCTCATAATTAAATAAAATCTTTAAAAAAAAAAAAAGAGCTAAAACTATGTAACATATGAAGAAACGCAGAAGAAAATCTCTGACACTGATAAACAAGAGTTCTTAAACATGACAACAAAACCCTAATGGATATAAAAGAAAAAAATTTACGTATTACTTTAAAATTTTAAACTTTTGCAATTCCAAAGACATCACACTTCCTGGCTTCAAAATACAAAGCTACTATAATCAAAACAGTTTGATAATGATATAAAGACAGTCGTAATAACCAATGCAACAAAAGAGAGAACCCAGAAACCAATCCATCCATTTATCTAGGGTCAACTAATCTCCAACAGGGTGCTAAAAATACAAACTGGGGAAAAGATAATCTCTTCAAAAATGGTATTGGGAAAACTGGATTCCACTTAATACAAAAGAACAAAGTTGGGCCTTTGTTTTACACCATTCACAGAAACCAACTCAAAATGGATTAAGGAATCGAATATAAGACCTGACACTATAAAACCTCTAGAAGAAAACAGAGGGGGAAAAGCTTCATGACAATGGTCTTGGTGATCATTTCAGGGATACGATACCAAAAGTACAGGCAATAAAAACAACTGGGACTACATCAAACTAAAAAGTTTCTGCACAGCAAAAGAAACAACAACACAGTGGAAAGGAAACCTACAAAATGGGAGAAAATATTTGTAAACCACATATATCTGACAGGGAGTTAATTTCCAAATATATCAGGAACTCCTATAATTCAACAGAAAAAAAAATAACCTGATTAGTTAAAATATTTTTGTTTTAAAAAAGGGCAGAGGAACTGAACAGACATTTCTCTAAATAAGACATATAAATGGCCAAAAAGTATATGAAAAATGCTCAAGGTCAAAATCATCAGGCAAATGCAAATCAAAACTACAATGAGGTATCACTCCATACTCATTAGGATGGCTATTAATAAAAAGTAAACAAGCATTAAGGAAATGTAAAACCTGGAACTTTGTAGACACCAGTGGAAATGTGAAATAGTGCAGCCACTATGAAAAATAGTATGGAGGTTCTTCAAAAAACTAAAATAGAACTACCATGTTCCATTAATCCCACTTCTCAGGATTTATCCAGAACTGAAATCAGAATCCCAAAGAGGTATTAGCACTCTCATGGTTATTGCAGCACTGCTCACAGTGGCCAAGATCATGGACATTTGGGGTTGTTCCTACCACAAAGGAATGGATAAAATGTGGTATGTACATGCAGTGGAATACTATTCAGCCTTAAAACAACAGGAAATTCTGCAATATGCCAATAACATGGGTGAACTAACATGGGTGAACCTTCAGGACATCATACTAAACGAAAATAAGCCACTCACAGAAACACAAATACTACATGATTCCATTTATAAGAGGTATCCAAAATACTCAAATTCGTAGAATCAAAAAATGGAATGATGACTGCCCATGGGGGAGAGAAGGAGGAAACAGGAAGTTACCAATTAATGAGCATAAAGTTTCAGATAAGCAAGATGAATAGGCTCTAGAGAACTGCTGGTACACTGTATTTCTAGTCAACAATAATGTATTATACACTTAACAATTTTAAGAGGGAAGATCTCATGTTAAGTGTTCATATCACCATAAAAAAAAAGGACAACATTAAGAAAATGAAAAAACAAGCTATGTATGGGCTAGGAGAAAATATCTGCGAGTCATATATAAAATGAGGAACTAGTATCCAGAATAATAAAAAAAAATTCTTAAAATTTAGTAAGACAGAAAATCCAAATAAAAAATGGACAGATGGGGATCCCTGGGTGGCTCAGCGGTTTAGCACCTGCCTTTGGCCCAGGGCGTGATCCTGGAGTCCCGGAATCGAGTTCCACGTCGGGCTCCTGGCATGGAGCCTGCTTCTCCCTCCTCCTGTGTCTCTGCGCCCCCCCTCCTGTGTCTCTGCCCCCCCCATCATAAATAAATAAATAAATCTTTAAAAAAATAAAAAATAAAAAATGGACAAAAGATCTGAATAGTTATTTCAACAAAAATTTACAGAAATGGCTAATAACCTCATGAAAAAATGATCAACATAATTAGTCATTAGGAAATGCAAATTAAAACCACAAAATGAGGTACCACTTCATACTACTCTCTAGAATGACTCTGAACAAAAAGAGACAATGTTGGTGAGATGTAGAAACTAACCCTCAAACACTGCTGATAGGAGCGTAAAGTGATACAGCCACTTTGGAAACAGTCTGCCAGTTTCTTAAAAATATAAATATAAAAAGATATATAAAAGAAATATAAAAACATAAATTTGCCATATGACTCAGCTATTCTACACCTAAGTATATACCTAAGAGAATAAAAGAGCTGAGATGTTTGCCGAAAATAAAATATGCAACGTATAATAGGATAAGGTAGCTATAAAACCAATACATATTCGTGAAAATTTATAAACTTCAGGATATTTATTAGAAACTGAAAATAAAGGAAGCTTCCAATTAATAAATAATAAATAAAGTCTTTGAATTAATTGAAAATTAGCAATGCATGAGGTCTAGGTGGCTCAGTCAGTTGGGTATCTGCCTTCAGTTCAGGTCCTGATCTTGGGGTTCTGGGGTCAGGACCGCATTGGGCTTCCCTGCTCAGTAGGGAATCTCTTCTCCCTTTCCCCGTGCCCTCTACCCACCCTCCAGGTCAAGCACTCTCTGTCTCAAACAAATAAATAAAATCTCTTAAAAAAAAATAAAATGAAAAATAAAAATGCAATGAAGTTGCAATCCGCAATAACAAATAGTGCAGAACAGTCAAAAAAAATAACTAGAAACATTTAAAAATCTTTATGAGGAAACTATAAAATGTTTCACTGAAGTACAGAAAAGAAGTGAATAAAGATTATGCACTAAGCAGGGTTCTATTCTGCATAGATAATTTAATCTTCGCAATAATCCTGAGGTAGGTGCTATTACCATTCTTTCTAGTTTATTGATGGGAAAACTGAGGCTCAGAGAAGTTAAATAATTTGCCTAAGATCACACAGCGAAAAAACTGGTGGGACAGAGTTCAAATCCACAAAACCTGGTTCCAGAATCCATGTTCTTATTAACTATCACTCAAATCTTCCAAAAAAATTAATAAGGGAGCACATTATTATATAGTTTACATACTGTGGTAGAAGCAGTGGGACAAAATAAATCAGAAGGAAATCATGTATATAAAAGAATTTAGTGTATGTAAGAAAGGAGATAGTTCATATCAGTGGGAAAGGATAGACTGACCTCGGAAAAACTCCGACTGGTAAGCTTAAAAATTCGAAAATAATTTACTTTTAAAAATACAATAGTGGGAGCATAGAAAGCTTTCCAATATAAGACACAAAAGTTATAAGACATAGTTATATAACTAAAAAATAATTCCCACATGTAAGGGAAACCAATGCTATCACAATTTTTATTTTGTATTTTTTTAATTTTTTAATTTTTTTTTTTTTTTGCTATCACTATTTTTATACAGAATGCATATTATAGCGGTGCCTGAGTGGCTCAGGTGGTTAAGCATCAACTCTTGATTTTGGCTCAGGTCATGATTTCAGGGTTTTAAGACTGAGCTCCATGTTGGGCTCTGCACTGTGTGGAGCCTGCTACGATTCTCTCTTTCCCTCTGTCCCTGCCCCACAAAAGAGTAAATATATACTATCTTGTTTTAAGGGGTTACCTCTGGGGACAACAAATAGATAAAAGGAATATAGAGGTCTTTTATTCATATACATCTATGTGTGAATTTTTACTATTACTATTACTAGTAAAAGTAAATAGTAAAATTTTAACAATTTTAAAAAACAAATTTACAAATAAACCACAAACAAACAATTCATCTAAATCAAACCAAGAACTAGTAGGGAAAAAAATATAGATTAAATTCTCTGGATTAAAAAAGGGCTGTTAAACTCACAATATTTTTGGTTTTGAAAATGATTACAAAAGCATGTCCCAGAATGTATCCAAGTCTTTTGCTACAAAAAACTTGAGTATATTTCTGCCACGTGATGAAACAGAGTAATAGTGGTTTGCTTTCTTAGCTAGAATATTTGGATCTACTTATCCTTGAAAGAGTTACTCAAAACAGAATGACTCAAAACAAAGATGTATTTTTGCCTGGTGGCTAGCCGCAAATAGCCAAGGCTCTATGTTGACTAGGCAGCAAAGGTACCTTACCCACTAAGATTATTCATTAAATTGTGTTTCACCAATTTAAGGGCTCCTGGGTGGCTCAGTTGGTTAAGTGTCTGCCTTTGGCTCAGGTCATGTTCTCAGGGTCCTGGGATTGAGTGCTGGTGGGCTCCCTGCTCAGAAGGGAGTCTTGTTCTCCCTCTGCCTCTGCGGCTATCCCCCACCAGCTCCTGCTCACCCTCTCTCTCTCTCTCAAATAAATTTTAGAAAAAAATAAATTGTGTTTCATCGATTTAGATTATTAACCTTATGTCTACTGGCAAGGCACTCAGGTCAATACAAAGCTTAAGAGATTTTCTTTAGGTGACATCACTACATACATCTCCCCCCATTTAAAGATCCAAGACCACACTTTTCTAAGTACTTTCCCAAGACATACAAGATGTGAGTAACAGATCAGTTGGTAACAGTGGAACACCCAGTTTTAAAATGAGGAGTCGACCTAAGAATTTAGTCATTCCTTCAAGAACAGGTATCTTTAAATCTATACTTTAAGAGACTAGGAAAACAACATATGTACATGTTCACCAGCAGCAAGTACCATCTCAAAATAATAACCTTTAACAAGAAACTTAAGAGTCTGCTTAAGAATATTTGTTTTCTACTATTAGAGAAATATACATCATCTAATATGTATATGATATCAACAGTAAGATATAATATGCAAGTTTTAAATTCCACTTTTAAGAAATCTAACTATATCATTTGTATATCAAAACCAAAAATATTACAAAAGAACCTACAAATCTCAAAAATAATTTTCTTCCAATGAAAAACTGATCTCTGCATAAAACAATTTTTTGATGAATTTTCCATCATAATACTTTTTTTATTAATGCAGTTACTGGTTTACTCATCTAGTAGCTACTTAGTGTAAATGTAAGTTAAAACAGAAAAAAATTAAGAATTCAGTTCCTCCATTGGACTAAACACATTTCAAGTATTCAATAGCCGTATGTGGCTAGTGGCTACCATATTGGACAGTGCAGATAAAGAACCAAGATTTTTTTCTTCCTAACAAAAGAAACTGTTCTTTTGGACAGTACTATTCTAGATATTATCAATAAAGATAAGACCTTTTAGATGGACTAATTCTGCCCTAAATTCAAATGCTTTCAAATTTTAACTCACCATGAATCTCTTTGATACGAAGTGTATTCTGATGCATTCCATATTTCAAAATCAACTGTTCCAGATAGTAGAAAGTTTTTTTGTGCAAAGTCTAAACATAAATGCATTATTAGATTAATAGATGAAATGTAAAAAAGAAAAGGCCATCTATTGCTATAGCACATTGATTTTTAAAACAAAAACAATCTTTAAAGATTATCTAAAATATGATAGTGATCTATTTTTAAAAGTAAATGTTGCAAAAACCTGGACTATCCCTGGTTCCTCAAGGATGTGAAAAGGGAAAGGAGGAGGTTTTACTAACTGTTTATAATTGACAAAGATGAAATACAAGATGAAGGATTCACTTATCATCCTTCTCTCAATACCTTTTGCCTTACTTGAACCACAGCCTTCCAGAAATCCTTAGCTTCTACTCTGTGGCAATCTCCACACATCTGAGGCTGAACAATATAATCTACCACAAACACCTGCTGAAGGATAGCACCATTCATCACCTGATATGGGGGAAAAGGAAAAAAAAAAAATCACATTCCTTTCTTCGTTTTAATAAATATTTAATATTTAAAGTTAATATTTTTTTAAAGTTAATATTTAACTTAGTCTTTTTCCATGAACGTTTTGAGGACATCAACAATAAATCAATTAAATTAAAGGTCATAAGAATAAGTTAATCCTATTTCAAGAAAAAAATAAGTTTGATTTGTAGGATAAAATTAACATTTCATATTTACCTCTAGTTAAAGTGGTTGTGAAGAATAGTCTTTGAAGAATTTGTATATCTATATAAAATTCTAAAAATAGAAGATATTCCTTAATTGTTCCCAAACATAGCCAATCATCAGAAACCATCTAGGCAGCTTTTTAACAGATTCCTGGGTGTCACGTCCAGATGGATCCAGTTCGATTCAGTTACTGTGAATTATTATGATGATCAACCAAGTTTGAGAAACACTGCCTTATTAGCTCATGCTTTTACTTCCATCTTTTTTACTAATAAAAATAACTCTGAAAAAGATTACCTTACCCACTAATCATGAGCAATGGCTGCTTTGGATCATCTGGCAGATGACCAAAAAAAAAAAAAAAAAAAAAAAAACCTCAGGTTAAAATTAAGAGTGTAATCTCTCCTCCTAAGCTATTCAAGCCCTAAGATAACTTACCAATATCCCCTCATTTTCACTACCTACACTTCAGACATGCTGAGAAAACTGTATACAGCTTACCTCTTTCTGAATTGTCAGTTTAACTTTAAGTCTCTTAGAGTGGGGCTCAGTCCAGACGAAACCTGCATCTACAAGCCGTACCTTCAAAAGAACACAACCAAAAAGAAACTTAAGTTCCCACTTGAGAAAAAAGATGAAAAAACAACTCATTAGCAGAGTTCAGAAGATGTTTAAGGAATCTGTGGTTAGCATCATTACTCTACAACAGCAGTCAAAAAAAAAAAAATTATCATCAGAAGTATGGCAACAAAAAGAGCAATAAAAGGACCATCTAAGGACTACATTAATGCAACTGGTATAATTCAAGCAAAAATATAAGTGTCTGCGTAGGAAGAAATCCTTTTCCCTAAAAAAAATACTTTTTTTTTTTAATGGAAATTATACTTTTTAGAAGAAAGCAAAGATCTGGTGTTTAATCATCTACTAGAAATCTCATAAACAAAAGTTTCTACTTGGATTATTCTATCTATATTAAGTGTTTGGCTTTTAAAAAAAGGCTTATCAGAGGGGGTCTCATGCTGAACACTGAATCCACAATGGTAACTCACTGATATATCAGCAGAGGTCAAAAAGTTTGCTATACGTGAGGATCTCAATGTAGCTCAATATAGCTAAAATGGGTGTTTTGAGGAAGAGGGAAGAGGAACAAAAATGGAGGTCATTTCATTAATTTGGGCAGGAGTTGCAGGTGAGTTGAACTGAAAGGTGCTGCTACTCATATCTTTTACCAGTAAGTTTTATCAATAACTGAAATCCCTCCAAAATCTCAACTCCAAATATCCCACTTCTTGACTCCCACCTCTTAACATTCCAGCTCACTTTTCCAGTTCCTGAGCACCAAAAATTCTTCAACCTACTGCAACCTACAATCTATTCATCCTACCACTTTTCACTATCCATCCCTCCTACCTCCTTTTTCTACTCACTTCCATCAAATGCTAGCTTAAATGTCAAGATCATCAAAATCATTCTCATGCATACACTCAATTCCCTTGGTCCACTCTCATTTCACTTTGCCATTGCTAAATCACTTTGTGCCCTATTCTATGCCTTACCTGTGCAGCCGATGAGGCTAAAGAAATAAATACACACCATGCTAGTCTTTAAATTTCTAACAGTAACCTTTGCAACAATCATACATCATTCTAGTATATTCTCTCTCCCACTCTGGAGGAGTATTTCATACCTTCCCTTCTCTCCTCAAGTATCTAATAGTTTTTCCTTCATAACTCCTCCCCAGGCTTTTGTTTTCTCAATTAGAAAAAGTAATCAGAAGATTTCCCAGAAGCTCCTAATTACAAACATTTCTCTATTACTACAGATAACCTGTCCTAGCTCCTATTAAGACCAAACTTAAGAATGCCCCATTAGAGAGCCAAGACCTTATTTTGTTCCACAAAATACTCCAGGGTCCCAAAATGGTGCCTGGGAGAGAGTAAGTACCAAATACTTGTTGATATTCTTCCACTACTATGCTCTATCTTCTCTTTTCCACTCCTCAAGGTCATCTCACAGTCAAGTATTCTGTCTCTGTGCAGTTTCACAGATTTTTCCCTCTGTACTCAACTCCCAGATAGCTTATAAATATACTCTAACATCTCATATCCTTTTTAAAAATGTTTTATTTATTTGACAGAAAAAGAGTGAGAGCACAAGCAGAGGAGTGACAGAGGCAGAGCAGGGAACCCAATGCAGAGCTTGACCCCAGGACCCTGGGATCCTGACCTGAGCAGAAGGCAGACACTTAACCAACTGAGCCACCCAGGCACCCTTAACCTCCTACCTTGAGAAATGGGTCCCTTCCCTTTTTTCCCCCTCTACCCACTATCCTATTTCTTTCCCTTTACTCAAAAAAATTATCTCTACTTGTTATCTCCAATTCCTGTTCTCCTATTCTCTCATTTTCATTCAAATTAGGTCTTTATTTCCACCACTAAACAGAAATTGCTCATCAAAGTCATTAACGATTTTCACATTGCTACATCTACAGAATTTGACCCATTAGCTGCAAATTACATAGCCAGTCACTTCCTTTGTAAAATACTTCCTTTACATTCCAAGACACTACACTCATCTAATTTTTCATCTACCTTACTAGCAACTCCTTTTCAAGTCTCCTTTGGTTTACCATCTTCTCAAGCTTTTAAGAGTAAAAGACCCCAGGATTTAGTCCTCAAATTTCTTCCCTTCTCTATCTAAACTGCCTTGGAAATTTCATTCAATTTCACAGCTTTAAAAACCATCTATATTCCAATTCATCATCTCCAGTCTGGATCAATGTTTATTTATAAGCTGCCTACAATGTCTACTTCTATGTTTAATGGACATCTAAGTACCACTATGAGATAGCTCTAATCTCTCTCACACTGATCTGCTTCCTCTTGAAGTCTTCCCTACCTTACTAACAGCAACTCCCTCCTTCTGGTTGATTGAGTCAAGAACATGAAATCAAATAATCCTTCTACTCATCTGTCATATACATACATTCAGCTTCATCGGTAAATACTACTGACTACCTTCAAAGTAGATCCAGACTGTTCACTTCTCACCACATCCACTACTGATCCAAATAGCATCATTTCTCATGATTACTACAATCACTTCCTAAAGGTCCCCACTTCTACCCTCACCCCCATTTCCCTCATACGTACTCTAAACATAGCTGCAAGGGATCCTGATAAATCATAAATCTTTCATCATTTTACTACTCTACCCTATACCCTCTATACCCATTACACTTGGAGTAAAAACCCAACCTCTGTGACTTTCCACAATTGCTGTTTTCAACCCCCACTACTTTTTCCCTCCCCACTCCAGGCTAACCTCACAGCTATGCTCCTGCCTCTAGCCTAACTCTTGTTTTCTCTACCCATAATTCTCTCTTCCAGATTTCTGCACAGTTCCTTCCCATACTGCCTTTAATGTTTACTCAAATGTCACCTTATCAGTGAGGCCTTACCACTCTATTTCACTTATTTGAGTATACCTGACATATAATGCTAACCCCTCTTATTTATTTGTTTGTTTATTTCCCCTCTATTTTAAATCAAACTCTTCCCTATGCAGTTCTTATCCCCTTCCTGGTTTATTCTTCTACAGAATTTAGATATTTCAGTGGCTAATCCTACAACCAGAATAACAGTTACCTAGACAGACATGTTTGACTCTGTCATTCACTACTATATCCCCAACACCAAAAGCAGACTGGCACAGAGCTGACACTTAATATAACACTGCTTGAATGAACTAATGAACTATTAAGGCTCCCCAGACATTTGACAAAAGCCAGAAAGCCAGAAGTATGACAATGAGACCAAGTTACACAAAAAACTGACTCCAGAGACAAAGTAGGAAACAGAAGGAAATTTTTTAAAAACCTATTATCATATCTTCAGAAAAACTCAACAGAATGCATTGCTATTGTAGGGATGTAAAGTGGTACAGCCACTATGGAAAACAGTATGGAGGTTCTTCAAAAGGTTAAATATAGAAATACCATATGATCCAAAAATGCCACTACTAGATATTTACCAACAAGAAAACAAAACCCTAACTCGAAAAGATATATGCACTCCTATGTTCACTGCAGCATGATTTACCACAACCAAGATACGGAAGTAATTTAAATGTTCATCGATAGATGAATGGATAAAGATGTGGTATACAGAGAACGGAATATTACACAGCCATGAAAAGGATGAGACCTTGCCATCTGCAACAACATGAATGGATCTAGAGGATATTAAGCTAAGTGAAATAAATCAGACTGAGAAAGACAAATATCACATGATATCACTCATATGTGGACTCTAAAAAACAAATGAATAAACAAAAAGCAGAGTAAGACTTATAAATAGAGAACAAACTGATGATTACCAGAGGGAAGTAGACTGTGGAGATAGGCAAAATGGGTAAATGGAGTGGGAAATATAGCTTCCAGTTTTGGAATGAGTAAGTCACAGGGATGAAAGGTAAGCACAGACAATACAGTCATGTAATAGTGTTGTATGGGAACAGATGGTAGCTATACTTGTATGCACAGCATAAGATGTCAAATCACTACATTGTATGCCTGAAACTAATTTAACACTGTGTCAACTACACTCAAATAAAAAAAAGAAAGAAAGAAAAATAAAAAAGAAAATGAATGCATCAAAAACATTAAGACTGGGGATCCCTGGGTGGCGCAGCGGTTTGGCGCCTGTCTTTGGCCCAGGGCGCGATCCTGGAGACCCGGGATCGAATCCCACGTCGGGCTCCCGGTGCATGGAGCCTGCTTCTCCCTCTGCCTGTGTCTCTGCCTCTCTCTCTCTCTCTGTATGACCATCGTAAATAAAAAATAAAAAATAAAAAAATAAAAATACACTGTTAAAAAAAAAAAAAATTAAGACTGTGACAAAGAGGGACGCCTGAGTGGCTCAGTGGTTGGGTATCTGCTTCTGGCTCAGGGCGTGATCCTGGCATCCAGGATTGAGTCCCACATTGGGCTCCTTGCATGGAGCCTGCTTCTCCCTCTGCCTGTGTCTCTGCCTCTCCAGGCCTCTCATGAATAAATAAATAAAATCTTAAAAAAGAAAAAAAAAAAAGACTGTAGTAAAGACCCTGGAACATAAATATGTCACTGCTGGAACAAAAAAACAACCAATATAGAGACCAGAAGACAAAGTAAATCACCAAGAACACAGAAAAAAAGACTGAAAGGTTAAAAACAATATAAGGGGAAAAAGACAAAAGTTTTCAGCCAGAAGGGCCAACATTTGACTAACAGAAATTCCAGGGAGGAAAAAAAAAATAATAAAGGAAAAAATTTCAAAGAACTATTACATGAAATTTTATCAGAGCTTAAAAGAGAATCTGAAGACTTTCAAACCAAGAGTCCATTTCAATTAAAAACATACATGGTGGGGGCAGCCCCGGTGGCTCACTGGTTTAGCACTGCCTTCAGCCCAGGGTATGATCCTGGAGACCTGGGATCGAGTCCTGTGTCAGGCTCCCTGCATGGAGCCTGCTTCTCCCTCTGCCTATGTCTCTGCCTCTCTCTCTCTCTCTCTCTCTGTCTCTCATGAATAAATAAATAAAATCTTAAAAAAAAAAATACATGGTGGAAATGAGTCAGTCATAAATTTTAACACAAAGAAAACTGAAAGTGTTATGCAGAGAGGTAAAACAGGCTAAAATTCTATTTGTTTTTTGGAGACCCTGATGCACTGACTTTAAGCAACAGGCACGAGTATTTTCTTTCTAGAGCAATACTGAAAATAAAAAGAAACTGAATATCATAGCCCTAATATTATCATCTTCTAAATTATGTTTAGTGATGGTTTTATATAAATATTTTCAGAAAAAAATTATTGCATATGAGACTCTATAAACAATGAAAAAAGTTATTCTACATTAAATCTTTTAAAACAAAAAAGATTTTCATTTCCATAAAAAAATAATATACATAACTTTAAAAATGAGCAGTTTGTAGTAGGATGCTTACCAATGTTAACATTTATGTTATTTTTGGAAAACCTACTCATAGAGGATTTTCTAACAATAAGAGATTAAAATATAAAGATAAAAACACATATCCACAAAAAACTTATTTTAAAACTGACTGACCTACCTTACTCAGAGGGGCTTTGATTCTTTTCAAACACAAAGCAAGAAGTTCCCTGGATTCTAATGCACATGGTACCCAAGTTCCAGGCGGCTGGAAATATCTAAGAAAAAAAATATCCTGAAAACCACCATCTCCCAGGAAAAACAAAAATTTCACTGTGAATCTGTGGATATAACACTGATGATTAATCAGATATAGTAATTCCCAAGACTGATATGCAGCATTTAACCCAAGTATATTTAATAGTTCCAAAAAACTTTCAACTGGCTTAATTAAAAAGTGAAATCCTAGGTATATTTGAGAAAGCCAATCTGAAATGATGTATTACAAAGGACTTATTACTTCAAACACCAGCAAAGAATTCCAGTGAGGTCTGACAAAATGCTTAAGAGTTCCTTGAAGCTATACTCTGAAAGGTAAGAAATCATCTTAAAATGGCATTAAAATGGTTTATAGTAAACATCTAAAATGTTTGAGAATTGATTTCTCACACACAAAAAAGGTATAGTAGTACCTCATACCAAATATCAACAGTAGTTCAGACTGTTCATCTATTCCAAGTCTCTTCCCAAATTTTAAATTGTAAAACTTGTTTTTAAATCTTACATAAAACCTAATTAAATTAAATTTTCAATCCCTGGACAAATGCTTTTAAGATCTTTAATCCAGCCTGCTCAAGACTCAGGACAGTGCCAAGCATAGGAAGTGCTCAACAAACGTTTGTTAAATACATAATACTTCTAAATACACTATACGAGTGCTTGTTTTTGCTATACTAGTTAAGTGAATGTTCTTTCACTTTTATTTATGAATTTATTTTTATGTAATCTTTACACCCAACATGGGGCTCAAACCCACAACCCCAAGATCCAGAGTTGCAAGTTCTACCTACTGAGCCAGCCAGGGACCGGATTCTCACTTTTAAAGGTTAATTCAAAAACCTTATACAGGTCCTTTTATTATAAGGATGCTTTTGGAGTCAGAAAGGGTTTTATCTACCTTCTAATAAAGTGCTTTCATTCTGATGGGGAAATTAAATTAAGGCTTAGAAAGGTTAACTGGCAGAGTTTCAAAAAGTTAGTTTGTGAGAAATCCAACACAAACTAAGTCTCCTGATTCTTTGTCCAGTGCTTTTTATTTCTACTCCACCATGCTTTAAAGTACAGCAAGTAGCTGTAATTGATCAAGTATCATACTTGCCACAAACTTGCAAACTATAAACTCCCTGAAACAGTACAGAAAAATTTCATGTGCTTGTATATACGTATGTTTTAAGTATGTTTTCTGAAAAGGTAGTTTCAAATTCCCAAAAGGATTCATGAACCATTCCCCCTACCCCTCTAAAAAAATTAAGAACCACTAGAGCCCTAACCCATCTGGGAAATCACAGGCAATTAGCTTTATATGGTCACTGTCACTAGGCAGGTTGTGTTACTCAACAGCTAACTATAATCATTTAGTTACATTGGATTTTACCAAGATTTTTAAAACACCTTGCTAAATTATTTAAAACATTAAAACATAAAAGGTTGTTTATCATACAGAGCTTCTGGTGACTAAAATGAAAAAAAAAAAAAAAAACCCTCATGATAATAACAGTATTATGTCCTTAGTGCTTATGCTTTCACTTACCCTTAAAAACCCAACTCAATATCTATTAACTGTATACACCAAACCTATTAAACCCTTATAAGACTAAAAGAAAGTAGATTCAAATACATTTGCACTAACTTTACCAGATTATCAGGGTTCAAACTAGAGAAGTACACTACAAAATTGCAAATCCTAAAATGTCTGGCAACAACATAAATAAAAGTTAAATCTCAATTATGTGTGCTTTAGTCTATGTACCTCTATGTCACCTCAGCATATCCCAGTTGCTCTCATACATATAAAACTCAACTTTAAGTAACATAAAATAGTACCGCATCATACCTTTGACATTGCTTGCAGAAAGATATAGAGACCTGTTTCGGAATTCCTTGGCTGATGTCTACTTTACTTCGCAAACAGGCCACACAAATATTGGCAGGATTTGGACTGATTGGGACACCACACTCACAGCACAAGCTTAAATAAACAGAGCATAAATTTTTCAAATTAGGTTTCATAAATGCACTGGTTGTTAAACAAACAAAAGCCTTCAGGGGAGGCCATATCTTTGCTTAAAAAAACACAAAAACAGGGCAGCCCAGGTAGCTCAGCGGTTTAACGCTGCCTTCAGCCCAGGGCATGATCCTAGAAACACGGGATCCAGTCCCACATCGGGCTCCCTGCATGGAGCCTGCTTCTTCCTCTGCCTGTGTCTCTGCCTCTGTGTGTGTGTCTCTCATGAAGAAATAAATAAAATCCTTAAAAAAAAACACACACACAAAAACACAAAAACACCTGGCAAAATAATCTTCAAAGATGCTGTAGATAAAGTAGCACCTTGGAATACTGCAGCAAAAAACCCAAGGATGGCTATAATTCCAAAAATCCTCAAAGTATGGTGTTGTCCAAAGGGTCAAGAGAGAGTCTAATAGATCTGTTAGAATAATCATCACAGTTCTATAGTCCGAAGACATTTTTCTTTAGGGAGCCAGTATAGAACTGCCAAAACGTAAACATTCAGAGTGGAGGGGAGCCGGGGTGCTCAGGGGTTTAGCGCCGCCTTCAGCCCAGGGCCTGATCCTGGAGACCCGGGATGAGTCCCGCGTCGGGCTCCCTGTGTGGAGCCTGCTTCTCCCTCTGCCTGTGTCTCTGTCTCTGTCTCTCTCTCTCTCTGCGTGTCTCTCATGAATAAGTAAATAAATAAATCTTTTAGAAAACAAATAAACGAGTAGAAAAATTGTCAAAGGATGGGAAGAGTATCAGGGCTAGCGTGATTCTGTATAATGGACTGGTGTCATAACTCTAGGTGTACTGGGACAGGAAATGTTTAGCGATCGCTGATGTTGTCCCAAAGAAATGTTTTAAGATTTTATTTGTTCATGAGAGACACACAAAGAGAGAGAGGCAGAGGGAGAAGCAGGCTCCACGCAGGCAGCCCGTCGCGGGACTCGATCCCAGGTCTCCAGGATCAGGCCCTGGGCTGAAGGCAGGTGCTCAACCGCTGAGCCACCCAGGTATAGACCCGCAGGTATAGAAATGTTCTATAATCCATGACGTTCTGTAGGGTAGCGGCCGGGCCCATGGGGCCACTGAGCACCTGAAACCTGGCCGCTAGGACTAAAGAGCTTATATTTAATTTTATCTCATTTTAATTTCTTTACATTTAAATAGCCCCACGTGGCTAATTACCACATGGCACAGCTCCAGGGGAGAACGACGTAAAGCGAATATTTTAACGCTCTTAAATCAGCAGGTGTTTACTACAACAAACTTTCCAACTAAAAAACGATCCCGATGGTCTCAGGAAATAAAGCTTTCCACTTAAGAATTCCCCTCAAACAGAACATAAAGACTCCTAACTCTGGGAAACGAGCTAGGGGTGGTGGAAGGGGAGGAGGGCGGGGGGTGGGGGTGAGAGGGTGACGGGCACGGAGGGGGACACTCGACGGGATGAGCACTGGGTGTTATTCTGTATGTTGGTAAATCGAACACCAATAAAAAATCAATTTATTAAAAAAAAAAGAATTCCCCTCAAAAAAAAAAAAAAAGGCTTTCCTCACAGGCAGCAAGTTTCAAAGACTCACTTCAATATTTTTACATTTAAAGGACCGGGGTGGGGGTGGGGGTGGGGGTGGGGTACGACTCACATGTGTCCGGGGGTGCGGTCGGCGGAGTCCGTCAGGTACTCCATGTCTCCGCACACCTTGATGCAAAGACAAAGAACGGCTTGTGGGGTGTAGGTCCTTGGGTCTATTCACCTCCGCGCAAACCTCCCGTCTGTGGACACGGCGGCCACGCGTCGCAGAGCTGCCAACGAGAGCCAGTCGCACGCGGCAGCTCCTTGGAGCCCAGGGCACCGCGCGCTTCCCCAGGCGCCGCCGCGGCCCGCGCACCGCTCCGCGCCCCCTCAGCGACCCGCGACCCGCGACCCCCGACCCGCGCCGGGCGGCTGCGGCCTCCCGCCCACGCCGGCCCACGCCGCACGCACGCACGCGGCCCCAGGCCTGCCCGAGCCCGGGGGCTCCGCCCTGCTCTTTCCCTCCAGGCCCCCCCGCGCGCCAGCAGCCGGATCTCGGCCGCGGAACCTACCGAGCGCTCCTGAGGCAGACCCGGACTGGCGGGGCGGCCGCGACCGACAGCCCCCGCGGCCCCCAACGCGGCCACCACCGCGGCCACCACGGCCGGCTCCCCGGCAGCCAAGACCTCGCGAGAGAAGAGCCCGCACTCCCGCGGGCCGAGAGCTGGAAGTTGAGGGGGCGGGTGGGGGCGGAGGCGAGCGGCGAGGGGCGGGGCTGCGGCCCGGGGGCGGGGCGAGCGCGGGAGGGGCGTGGCCTGCCTCCGCCTAGCGCAGGCTTTCCCGGGGGGCGGGGACGGGTCACCCCAAGCTAACCTCGCCCGGGTGTGTAAATCGCTGCTCGGACATCCTGAGCGGAGCTTGCGTGCTTCTTGGTTGAGCGATTATATGAAAGTTGTCTCTAAACACAATATGCAAAGACACAACATGCAAAGAAATTAAACTCCGTCAAGGGCGGTGTCCTTGTCTCTTTTGTTCCTATCATTTGCCCGATGCCCGCTGCGCCCTAGTCAAATGCGTATTTGTTGAATAGATGCACGAAAGAAAGAGGAGTCCCAGTTCTATGGGAGGTCTGTATGTTTTTAGCCCACCGATGATGAGGACGTGCTGCCCCAGGCCGCCTTCCACCCAGGCTGTGATGGGGGCCCTGGGATCGAGTCCCGCAAGGACTGCTTCTCCCTCTGCCTTTGCCTCTGCCTCTCTCTCTGTGTCTCTCATGGATAAGTACATAAAATCTTTTTAAAAAATAAAATAAAATAATAAAAATTTTAAAAAGGATGTGCTTCCCGATAATGCATTTAATATTTCTTTATGACTTTATGCCTTCATCTTAGAACGGCACAGACCATGCCTAACCACTCTTTCTCATGACAGAATTTCAAATATTTAAAGAGCACAATCATTTTTTCTGTCCTCTGACCCCAAATTTCAAGGAATAAACAAGGTCATGTTAGAGAAGGTGATCAAAATAGGCCTCCTCGTTTCTCTTGCCTTGGGTACCTAATCTCCCATTCCTTCCTCTTACTTCTAGACTCCAATCTATCCTTCTAAAATGCAAATCTGATTTTGTCGCACTGTCCTGCTTTTAATCCTTCAGTGGCCTCTGACAACCTACAGAGTATTTCCAATTTCTCTGCATGGGAGGAAGACACTTTAGGATCTAATCCTGACATACCCTGTCACGTTCCCAAGCACGCAGCCAAACAGACCCACTGAAAAGTCCTACAGGAGCTAGTCTACGTTTCCTTATGCTTGGGACAGTCTGCCATAAAGATTAAGCTCAAGTACCATATATTAGTTTCCTATTGCTGCTGCAACAAATTACAAATTTTATGGCTTAAAATAACACAAATTTATTATCTTACACTTCTAGAGGTGGTAAGTCTGAAAAAGATGTTCTTCCTTTGTGTGTGGTCCTACATCTTTATAGAAGGTATATCCCTCTGTAATGGTGCCAACATTAAATTGGATCATAAATTTTCTACTCCGCATGTTCCACAGGTCTAATTGCTGGAGAGCAGTCCAAGTCTCTTCTCCACATTCCCTGCACCTAGCACAGTGCCTGATGCAAAACAGACCCTCAATAAATGGTGGTGAATTAATTATCTATTTGATAGAACAACTCTGAGGAAACAGCTTATCTTCCTACTTTTCCCATTCATATTGTCATTTTCTTTAAGCCAAGTATCACTAAGAACACAACTGTAGTTAAACAGAATGTGTTTATTATTCATTAAAGTGAATGCAAACGTATTGTGAGGAATCATGGAGTGTCTCAATAAGAGGGTGTTAAATAAAACCTATCATAGGGGCACCTGGGTGACTCAGTGGGTTAAGCATCTGACTCTCGATTTTGGCTCAGGTCATGGTCTCAGGGTCTTGAGATGAGCCCAGCTCAGTGGGAAGTCTACTTGAGGTTCTTTCCCTGCTCCCTTACTGCCCCTCCCCCCACTAATGTTTGTGTGCTCACTCTCTCTCAAATAAATAAATTGGGGCCCCTGGGTGGCTCAGTCAGTTAAGCATCTGCCTTCAGGTCATGATCCAGGGTCCCCGGATCAAACCCCCTGTCACGCTCTCTGCTCAGCTGGGAGGTCTGCTTTTCCCTCTGCCCCTCCCCTCCTGCCCCCCCCACCCTTCATGCTCTCACTCAGTCTGTTTCATAAATAAATGAGAAAGAAAGAAAAAAGAAAGAAAGAAAGAAAGAAAGAAAGAAAGAAAGAAAGAAAGAAAGAAAGAAAAAGAAAGAAAGAAAGAAAATGAAAGAAAGAAAGAAAGTGAAAGAAAGAAAGACCTATCATAGAATTTGGGCTTTTCTGGGTAACTTGAGAGAGAGTCTAAGAAAGTAGGGGTCTGGGATGCCTGGGTAGCTCAGTGGTTGAGTGTCTGCCTTTGGCTCAGGGCATGATCCCAGAGTCCCAGGATCAAGTCCCACATTGGGCTCCCTGCATGGAGCCTGATTCTCCTTCTGCCTAGGTCTCTGCCTCTCTCTCTCTCTCTCTCTCTCTCATGAATACATTAATAAAATCTTTTAAAAAAAGAAAAAGAAAGCAGGGGTCTGCCCTAGATTGGATGCTGTCGGAAAGTAGGGGTAATTCTATGAATGGATATCTCTCAACAAATCTTATGCATAGGAAGAGAGGCAAAAGTTAAAACTGCAGTTAGTAAAGAAGCAGCAGTTACTCATTTTAGCCAAGAGAGGGAGTATTCGGTATTTTGTGGGTAGTGCAGTGACCTTGTATTTATCTGTGGTTATACAAAATTATGCAGTGGCCTTGCTTTGTCTCATTTTAGTGTGGTGTCAGAGTAACCTTGTCAGAGGTGGATATTCTGTGAAATTGTTTTTGTCTAACAGGAGAACAATGTGGGCTACCTGTGAGTACAGGCCAGCTTCTGAATGTCAGTGGCTGTTCTTTTCTTTCTCAACATAGTCCCTTAATACCCTATTTGATTTGACACCAAGTGCCACAGTGCCAGGCTTGTCAGACACTGGATATACAACAGTGAACAACACAGACCTTGTGGAGCTTACATTTTACAGATGAGGGTAATATTCCAGAAGCTCAGGTAACTTGCTGAGAGTTCTAGAGCAAGTAAGTGGCAGAAATGGGACCTGAACTATAGTTAATCTAACTGTACCCATGCCCTCACCATCATACCAGGCTGCATGCCTTTCTGAGGCTCAAGCCACCTATTATTCACAGGCTTTCTTCTTTTTTTTTAAGAGACTTTATTTTCCATCAACCTTATTTCCATCTTCTGCTTAAGAGTCTACGGAAGAGGAACACCTGAGTGGCTCAGTTGGTTAAGCATCTGACTCTTGATTTTGGCTCAGGTCATGATCTCAGGGTTGTGAGATTGAGCCCCACATGAGGCTCCGGGCGCAGGGCAGAGTTAGCTTGAGATTCTCTCCCTCTGCCTCTGTCCCACCCTCAACTTGTGCACATACACACACTCTCTCTTTCAAATAAATAAATAAATAAAATCTTTTAAAAAACAAAAAGAGTCTATGGAAGAGCAGCTTAGGAACACTCAGGGGTTATTCCTAGCCATTGAGAGGCCTGAGCAGTGGGAGCTGCAGACCAGTTCTGACTGGCAGCTGAGTGCACCAGTTTTCAGTAGGGAACTACTGGGCAGAAACAGGGACCCCTGCACACCTTCACACCATCTGAGACCTGAGGTTGAGTAGCAGTAAATTTGGGACCTGGGGCAGTCCATTCACCTGGAAATTCCTCCTTGGTCATGTTCTTTTCAGGAGAGACTGGGAGTGGCCTCCCATGGATAGTGCCACACACGTGCAGAACTTCCCAGGCCAGCATCCACCACCTCCAACCTGCTGCATGAGTTCCCGCGGTTGTGTGGGATGGCAATGCCCATATAGTGCAGAGGAGAGTCTGGTTTACACAGAGTGATGGTCAGCAGGTTAACATAAGATGCCTCCTTGAAAAGGTTGGTCAGCTCCAGGATTACTAATCACCAGAAGACACAGCTCCCTGCACGCTGCCTGTACCTGGCTAGTGAAGGTTCCAGAAGTGAAGCAGCCCACAGTAGGAGAGGCTCCAGTGGCAGCAGCCAAAGCTGAAGCACATCCCACTGGCCACTGTTCCAGGAAAATATGACACCAACATCAGCCCAGTGTTTGACATCAACAATGGTACAAGCTTGGAGAAGCTTCTGCTTCTCATTGAATCGCTCCAGATTTGTAATACGCCATGAATTTCCCCTTTTGTAGATGAACTTGGAAGTCAGGGTTGGTGCCACGTAAGTGGGTTCCTGCCACAAGGAATTAGAGGACATCCTCCTCCCCTTTGCGGGATGTCAAGGGCTCTAGACACTGTGAAAGTTTCCCTTTAAGTTACGTGGGAACCCAAAATGGTATGGACCATCAAATGGACCCCTCTCTTGTTAGCACAGAAAGAGAGTAGGCTTTTGACAAATGAAATACTTACATGGCAGAAAGTACCTTTATCTCTTCTGACACCTCTCTCCCCTCCAGATATCAGAAGTAAGTGCTTGGTGTCAAATGTCTCTGCCACAAGCACAGCGTGAACTTGCTAAGTAAGATCATCTCAAAACGAGGTAATACAGGCAAATTACACCAGAGAGAATTTTTGTTGCACATTTTATTTAATCCTCAAATCAAAAAAAAAAAATCCTCAAATCTCATCTTGGAGAAATGGGTTCTCTTGTCCCACACTCCGTATATTAAGGATCTCTGTGCTTACTCAAATATTTGCTTTAGTGTGTTTTTACAAACTTAAATTCTATGTGTTTGACCATGGCATTAAAATGGAATTCCTGGGGCACCGGGGTGGCTCAGTGAGTTAGGCATCTGACTCTTGATTTCTGCTCAGGCCATGATCTCAGAGTCATTAGATCCAACCCCACATTGGGCTCTGCTCTAGGTGTGGAGTCTGCTTATTCTCCCTCTTCTACTCCCTCTGCCCTTCTTCCCCATGCTCTCTCTCTCTAAAAAAAAAAAAGAAAAAAAGAAAAGAAAAGAAAAGAAAAAGAAGAAAAAGAAAATAAAGAGATTGTAAACACTGAAATTTCAGTGTTCAGTTTGTAAAATTCATTTATCCATAATATGATCCATGCAGGGACGCCTGGGTGGCTCAGTAGTTTAGCACCTGCCTTTGGCCCAGGGTGTGATCCTGGAGTCCCTGGA